GAGACCTGCCTGGATGAGTGCTTTTCTTGTCCACAGGCAAGGCAGCAACGCTTAGATGGACTTCTGACTTCTGTGGATTCGTCCTCCGTGAAATAATGTGATTGGTGGTGGTTATTTAAACGAAAGCATTCCAGACATGTTTTCCTTAGCCAGCCCGTGGGACACATATGGGTGCATGGGATTTAGGAACCCGCTCTTCCTAGACTTTAAAACCTGGATTTTAGGTAAAATGGCATTCTGCCAAGGCATCAATCAAGCAAATGATATTCATCGGTTTGCTGAATCTGCAGGGACCTGACTGCCTTGGCTGGACTTTGCTGTACTTATTTGTACAGTTCTGACTGGTTGTCATGATGGGCTCCTAAACTCATTTGGAGCATCGGATTTATTGTATGGTTCTGACAGATGGTTAGGGTTGACTCCTGAACTAGTTTATTGCTTCAAATCAACAGTGTATTGGACTAGGAGTGAGGGATAATTTGCATGTGTTTTAATTTTTAACCTTTCCGCCAATTCTAAAGTGAAACCTTTGAAGTATCAGCTGTGGTTTCACTTTAGAATTCCCTCCTGCCACGTCCATGGCTGAAATCCCAGACCTGCCAAAGCAGCAATCTAAAAGCTAGCTTAGCTCTCCTAAGATGGACATTCCCAATCTTTCTGCAGTATGGAGCTGTAAATCCCTATTGGGTTAATCAAGAATGGGTGGCAAGCCTTGAAAAAAACAAACAACTGCTCAGAGTCAGTTCAACAAGTTTAGTTCCTACTTGGCTCTATGTTCAAGATGGGTAGCTTTCTTACATCTTTTGAAAAAGTAACAAGGATTTTTTGGTACCCTTAAAATTATAAATGCATTATGGTGTAGCTTTCATGGATTGCATGTCACTGAATGCATGTTAAGGATTAGTCAGTAGGTTTATCCCAGTCCAATTCTTGGAAAATTTGCAATGTCTGTCTTGGAAAAGGCTGAATTTTCCCTTACTGGGCAATTTTTGTCACTTGGCTTGGGTGCAAAAGGTTCTTGGGCTTCATCTGTCACTTTGGCAGAGCAAACAAACTCTCCTTTTGCCTAGCGTGGGAGGTGTGCTTTCTCCCAGGCCCACTTTTTAGCTGGACCTGGCAGATGAAGGATATGGTAGAATGGTGTGTTTGAAAGAAGGGAAGGGTAGTTTCTGGGAGAAGAAAATTGTTAGGTAATGCTGGGCGGGCGTGAGCTTCAGATGCTTATCAGGCTCCAGCTAGTGCTTTATCTCCTAAAACTCACAGGCAGCCAGGCAAGGAATAGGAAAGTTCAATTTGTTTGAGTTACTTCTGAGTCATTTAGCTTTTTTTTTTTTTAAGGCTCCAAAATAATGCAGCTTTTCTACCTTTTTCTTTTTCCCAACAATTTCTGTACATTCTGTTTATGATGATGTGAGGGTGAATGAATTGGTTTATTTGTTTTCTTTCCTCCTTGACTGCAAAGTTGCAAAGGGCAGAGCCACCTTCTGTGAACATTTTATTGTTGTCCTTCCTTTTGTTTTGATTTGTTTCTAATGTAGACAGAAATCAGTCTAGTTCCTTTTCCCCTCCCCTCATCTTGGCATTATTAAAGTCACTGAATGAACTGAAGAGGGGAAGGAGAAAGCACCAGTAGCAGTCTGTCTTGTTTGGATGCTGGACATCAGCTGAGAGTAATGTATTCACCTGAGGAACTCGAGTCTCTCAGTTTCTGTCCCTTCCTCCTGTTCCTCTTCCCCTCTTCCCTCTGGGTGTGTGTTTCTCTCCCATGCACCCAGACGTTCATTCTCTTGGACCTAACTTAAAGTTTTACTGCCACATCCCCTTGGTCTATAAGTGACATGGAGGGTGAGATGTCCCTTTCCAACATGCATCCAAGCCACAGATGATCTTGGCAAGGTTTTCTTCGGTTCGCTGAATGGGGAGTTTTGAGGCCTGGTGGCCATCTCTGTCAAGGAGCCAAACAAATATTTCACTTGACTGGACCTGGAGGAATTTCCAAAGAGAAAGAGAAAAGCTCCTCCTGTGGTGAAGTATCCCTCTGAATTGGAACATTTTGATTCCTCTGCTGGAGGATGACTAACGTCTGTGTATGTGAGTTTTTTCAGTGGAAGCATGTGATTGCCAGCTGCCTCCCTACTTGGTGTCAAAAGGATGGCATAGACTTTGCATGGAGAATGGATTATTTTCCCCTCCCCTTCTCCCTCCATCCCAGACTGCTGCCTGCCAGGAATGGGTTATTTTCAGCTTTGCTGAAATCCCAAGCATTCCTTCAAAGAAACTCCCCTAGCAACAGGATGCCTCTGGATCGCTCCTAGTCTGTGCAAAAACACATTTACATGTTTTCCACCCTGGGACTGTTCAGATCCCAATGGGCACTGACAACAGCAAATAGGAACTCCTCTTGGACAAAGTGATTAAGGAAGCTGAAGATGGGCAATCTGTGGCCCTTCAACTGAATTATGCCCACCAGTGTCGCTCACTGTTGGCCATCTTGATTGAGGTTGTTGGGAGAGCAGCAAGGCTGTAATGTCTCCCAGTGCTCAATCCACAGAAAACCATTGTCCTGTGGTCTCCTTGTGAAAAGCAGCTGTCTGGAGCACGTGTGGGCAATCTTCCATCCTCTCCTTATCCGGAGAGGTTCCAAGGAACTAGTCTACTCACCAGTTCCTTGGTCTTTGCCGTGGTCGTTGGCTCCGCTTTCGCAGAGCTGTCTTCATTTTGCCATACCTCTCCCAGAACAACAATTTTATCCATATTGTGTATGAGAAGCATGGTTTGACTTGCACTTATGGCCATTTGGATAATACATTATTAAATGCTGTTAACTGTATTAATTAAACAGTGCATCCACAGCACAGAGCCCTAACATCTTTACTCAGTTTTAGAGACTACCTGAATAAACCCATTCAATCTTTGGGGTAGTCTTCCTTATTCTGATGACCTAGAAGGATAGTGGGATTGGATGGAACTCTCAAATTTCTAGCCAGCATAGGGTTTTTTTATTTGTTTGTTTGTTTGCTTGTTTGTCACAGCAGCTGAGAACTGAGGAATTGGAGTTTCAGTCCAGCTGGAGGATGTCAGGTTTGAGAAAGTTACTTCATGATGGCCAAGTTCTATCATTAGTTAAAGCTCCATTTGTAAACTGGAGTTTTCCTATGAATATGAATAAATACTGTCAGGCATTTTTTTTTTTAAAAAAGTATTTTCCAAAGTATACTGTGGGGAGGCTTGAGCAGTTTTAATTGTAATTTAGAGACTCACTATTGGTTAAATCCTTGTCATATATAATATTAAAATAATGTCTGGGTTTTGTTTTTCCCCAAATAGTTTTTAGATGGAGTTTGTATCTAGGGGATTCATGTGTGCATTGAAGAATATGAACTGCATTAGTTGCAGTCCAGATATGCATATTTTGCTACATTTTCTATAATGTCTTGGTGTTCATCATGGCTTAGAGGTTAAGGCAAATGCAGTGTTTTTCTAACTCTCTAACATTTTTTGTGGGGTTCACTCAAATGCACTGAACCACAAATCAACAAATCACATTTAGTATAGCAGCAGAAAAGCAGCAAGCTTGTTCAAAACCTCTAGAACATTCTAGCCTGGTTCACATAAAATGTGAAGTATCCTTTTGGTTTATTTGGTTTTGTGATTTTCAAACTATTGGAGTTTTTTAAACCACTTCACAGATTTGTACTCCATGCTTTATGATTTCATGTGTGAATCTACTTGACTGTAGTTCATTAAACCTTAATTAAACAAATAAAGATTTAGCAAAGTGCGGCTGTTTTTTTCCAGTCAGTATCCACTGTTGCTCACTTCAGCAAGTGCAATGCGAGGTAGTGCCAGAATTTGAAGAGAAGTTCTGAAGAATGCTATGGACCATAGATGGTAACAAAGAGACCCAGGAAAATCTCCTTGCTGCCATCTAGTGGTCATCTGGATGTTTGCAGCTTGGATTGAATAGCTGGTGCTATGGCTTGAAAGTCCAATTCATATACTTATGATTTGACTGCAGTTCTCTGTCTTGTTTCAACATTATCCTGGAATTTGTAGACATTTTAGCCTGGTGGTGGCTCTGGAATCTGCCACGGTTGATGTAAATGATTTATGTATGGCAGTGCAAAACTATTTGTAACTTATAGCAGCAGCTAAAGTGATTAGAAAATGTAGAGGCTTATTTTGAAAGCACTTTTCTGTTGTTTATCCACAGTCTTATGTCAACATATTGAAATGAGAGACAGACCTGATTTGCTTGAGAGACCATGGGTTACTTGTAATTAAGGAAGAGTGAAATGTCATATCCACAGTTGAATCTGTACCTCGTCTTTAACTGTAACTCTACGTATGAGTTGCTGGGAGTTGGGTGGCATATAAATTTAACAAATTGTTGTTGTTGTTACTAGGGAGTTGGGAATGGTGGTAGTGAATGTAAGGGTAGTTTTCCTTTCTGGACTCAAGATACAGAGACAGAAGGCAGAAGAGGACGCAAAGAGGCCATACTAGCTGCAGTGCCTTCAGCGTTCCTAACTTTTTAATTG